ATTAGAGATACTGGTACTGTAGCTGATTATACAGTCTTAGAGAATGAACATCGTGAGCACGAAGAGCTTTATTATGTAGCTACTAATAGCAGGAGTCAACATCCTGATCAAGTGAATGATAACATATGCATTCGAAATTTAGAATATTCTGCATTTTGGTCAGTACATATAAGTATGATTACGGTAATTTCTTATTAAGGAAAGGTCCATAGAAAACTTAAATGATGACTGTTCAAAGGATCATACAGGATGAAGGTTTTCAAAAAGCTATTACAAACGAAAGTTAGCAAACAGAAAAATTTTAAATCGTCAATGGCTCGTGTACTCCACATCAAAGGATTGTGTTTTTACTGCAAGCTCTTTGGGTAACTGAAACATGACTTTAATATCTGGTAGATTCCATGATTGAATAAATGCTAACGCACGTCGTCTGTATGAACATGAAAAGTTAAATGAATACACAACAGCTACCTGGAAATGGTTTGAACTTGGACAGCGACAGAACAAGTAATGAACTTTGGATAAGCTAAGCCTACAACTAATCAATGATAAGAGTTCACTGTCAAAATGTCTTTGAACGTCTCCTAGCCACTATACAGTTTCTGGCTGAGCACAAGATGGCTTTTCGTGGTTCCGTTGAGAAACTGTGCCAGCTGTACAGTGAAAACTTTATGGGAGTTGTACAGCTGATAGTGAAATTTGATATAGTCATGAAGGAACAGTTGAGAAGAGTGAAAGATGAAGAAATTCATTACCACTATTTGGGAAGGTGAATACAAAATGAGCTGATTTCTCTTGTGTGCAATAAGATGGGAACAACTATTGTATTGAGAATAAAATATGTTAAATATTATTCTGTGATACACCATACATCAGCCATAATGAATAGATGTCATTGACTATTCATTATGTCTCACATAGTTAATCCAGTTTCTCCTATAATTTACAAGTGTTTCTAAATTTTGTGGAAGTGAAGGAAAGCACATGTAAGAATCTCCTTGATGTTTTACTGTATGAGCTGAAACAGCTGGGGTTAGACTTTATCAACATCCGTGGCCAAGACTATGACATTGGAGCTAATATGAAAGAGCACAAACCAGGTGTACAAGCACATCTTCTAGAAAATATCCAAGAACATTTTTCACTCCATGTGCATGTCATAATTACGGTCTGCTGTTTGGTTTACTTGGCATAAACTTGTCCAGAAGAATGACACTTTCTGGCATAGTTTGTGTGTTTTTCACACAAAGTTACACGAGGGCTATCTGTGCTAGCCATCTCTAATTTAGCAGTGTAAGACTAGAGGGAAGGCACCACCCACCGCCAACTCTTGGGCTACTCTTTCACCAACAAATAGTGGGATTGACCATCATATTATAATGCCCCCACAGCTGAAAGGGCGAGCATGTTTGGTGTGACGGGGATTCGAACCTGTGACCCACAGATTGTGAGTCAAGAGCCCTAACCACCTGGCCAACTTTCTGTCATAGTTAATTTTTTGTATGTCTTGTTTTTGGCATCAACACAAAGATGAGCCATCTTTTTCTTTTTGAGTTTGCGAAACGCGATGGGACTGCCTTGTTCAAAGTTTTAAGGCTGTCAGTAAGCGTGTAGCCACCAATTTCTCAGTTTTTGTCATCTATGAACACTTGACACGTTTTTATATATCCGACTTTGATAACTACTTAAATTCATGCATGTGGTATGTTCTCAGTTGTTCGAATCTGCTGTTATGAGATGTGTACAATATTCTATTAAAACATTTTTAACAGAAAGCCTACTGCAGATTCATCACCAGTTTCATAGGCAAACATTTTCTTTCTTCAAAATTTAAGGCCTTTAGAAACTGGATATGTCTGCAGATCATTTGCAATTTCTCTTGCATCAGTCAGTACACCTTTGAAACCACTTTCCTGGTATTCTTTTTAGCTACTTGCCTTTGTCTTCTAAAGTTTGGACTGCACTTGCTAAGTCTAAAGAGTCACTTTGTATTTTTTGTTGACATGGAACAAAATGTCTATCAAAAAATTATAGTACCAAAGAATTTGAAATTCTTTAGTTCTTTGCACAGATTCTATTTCACTGCAAGCTTGGGGATCATTCTTCATCTCTGCAATAATGACTAATAGATCATCCAAGATGGGAAGAGCAAAGCATATTTTTATTTGTGCATTAATGGAAAACTAACAGCAGAACTATATATACTTTGCTACACAAGAAAAATGACACTTGCCAATTTCAGCCAACCCACGATGTCAGCACTTTGCTAAGAAACAGGGTTATCAGTAATAGCCATCAGATGAACATGTCAAGAATGATCAGCAACAAGTGTAGTATGTTGTGGTAAATGCTGCAGAAAACTGATTGAGTCCGTGTCAGGTTTGGGTTTAGTCACTGACTTTGTGGGAGCTCAGTAGACAGCTTGCACCAAAGTTTAGTTGTTAACTCGGCTCTTTAAGTGCTGATTGAAGCTCTGTATGTGCCAATAAGGGTACAAGGGTGAAAGATTGATTTTGTGGTAGACACAGAAATGGTGAGAAGATCAGCGTATCTTACAGTCTTTCAAGCTCTTTGAGGATAACTACTTAATATTGACCTCACTCTGAAAAATAGTAATCAATTAGCTGTTAGAAAAGAGATTGATTCCTAGTTCATTCCAAGAAGTATCACCTACAGAATAAAAATAGTTGTTTCAGATTTGGGATTGGCATTATTATGATGGATGTACTATGCAACCTGCAATATGTGCACTCATGTTCTATGGAAAGTATTCCAATGCCACCCTGATTAAGCCTAGGAATAGTGGACTGCATATATACAGTTGGGTTCTGTGATTTAATCCAGATGAAATATAATGTGTTGGTCAGACATGGGGTATTGATATTTGAATGCATCCAAATACAGCTTTTAGAGTATTTGTACTTGTATTAGAATGCTTTGGTAGGGAAAATTAAAGAATTCATATTTGAATACAATAGCATAGTATTCGTATTCACTGAATAATATAGTGAATACTTACTACTGTAAGAGTAAATGTCAACTTTTGTACTCATCCAATTTCTGGACTGTTATTATTACATCCACAGCACTTTAAATCAGCTCAATACTCTCCAACTACCTCAATTTTTTTGTATTACATGTTTATGAATCCAGTCATGTCACCCGAGATAATTTAAGGTGGCTACTAATCTGTCTTTAGTGTTACATGAACACTTCTTACTTCCTACTGTTAGATCTGGTCACATGAAGACAAAGTGTAAATATTGAGAGTGGACTATTTCTACTTTAATAAAAACTACTTCTAACCTGTTGACACAACTGAATGTAAGCCTTTTTATTATTTTTGTTAATATGAAATATTGTTCGTTTGTTTTTTGAATTTCACGCAAAGCTACACGAGAGCTATCTGCGCTAGCCGTCCCTAATTTAGCAGCGTAAGACTAGAGGGAAGGCAGCTAGTCATCACCACCCACCGCCAACTCTTGGGCTACTCTTTTACCAACGAATAGTGGGATTGACCAAATATGAAATATATTTATATAAATTGTACAATATAAGTAAACTAACTTTCTCATGCGTGTTAAACTATATTGTTTTCATATATTTAGTATTATATGTTTTATTATAATAAACTACATTCTATAGTTAAATTAAATTTCTCATGTTTTGAACTATATTCATCATTTTTTATTCGTTGTTATATGTTTTTATTATAAACTATATCCTATATTATATAACTGTGATACACTTTTGCATTTCTAGAGCAATCATGAGGCAGAGCTACAGATGTTTACAACTAGCCCTGATACTTCCACCCAGGTGCGACTGCCTACAATAGCAGTGTACCATAGAGAGTCAACTAAATATAAGTCTACACACTCTCGTCAGAAGCACATCACTAAGAAACTCATCAATTTTATAGCCGGTACATTGCAACCCTTCTTAGTGGTGGAGTCAAAATGATTTTCAAAATCTAATGGCAGCCATGGATTCTCTATGTATTCTTCCCAGTCGAAAGCATCTGTACATAATGTTGATCGAGAGCAGGTTTCATGAAGTCCAACAGAAAGTAATTTCTCTACTGCAACTTGTACCCAACATCAATATCATCGTGGATATTTGGAGTAGGAGACAAATGTGCAACTTTCTTGGAGTTACTAGTCTTTTATACTTGACTGCAAAATGCAAATAGTCATGCTTGCATGTTGGCATTTCAAGAGGCATCACATATCTAATAACATTGTAGCTCAATATGATGAAATATTAAATATCATTAACATCAACAACAAGGAGTCATATGAGACATCTGATAATGCATCCAACATGATCAAAGGTTTCTTCTTGCCCGGGTTCAGTGTGAGAGATGGTGATAGCTTATCTACAGGTAGTGACTTAGAATACGAACTTTTGGATGAATCTAAATCAGCAGACAGTTTATTGAAATTTTTTTCCTGAACATGACCCCTGCCTTTCCAACACGCAACAGTATGTGGTCAGGGATGGAATGAAAAAACTGGACCACTGCTGTAAGTACTTTCCAAAACATCAGCCATTATGTCCTACATTCAAAAATCAATGCAAGCAACTGATATACTTGAGGAAGAGGCCAGAGTTCAGTTGGTAACACCAACATGATGGAACTCAGAAATTAAGATGATTAAGTCTTTATTGAATATTCCCCAAGAGGATTTGGATAATCTAGATACTGGTACATCGAAATACAAATTCCATGATCAAACTGTGCTTACAGATTTGGTGACAATATTGACACCTTTTGAAGAGGCAACAGATTTCATCAAAGGTTAGAACATTGTTACCTTCAATTAGGTATTGCCATGTGTTTATGGACTGATGACTGAGATTAATATGTTATCTTTATGTTGATTCTGGACTTCTTTTTTATCATATTAATTTCATTCCCAGCCCCAGTCTTGTAATGCTTTCTGTTTTTGTGCAGGTTCATTTGGATTATTCTATAAAAAGAAAAACACAAAGTCCAATCCAGTTATGTTAACAAAAATGTTATATTTCGTCTGCTACAAATTTCACAGTTACTCAATCTAATGTTCACTGAGAGACCTAAGTTCACAGTAGACTAATAGAATAATTTTGCTTATTTCTTATGCTCTACAGAGTATACTGTTTAACTTTTATTAATGCATTTAAACCACAAACTAATATTCCAATGTGAGCTAACTAAATGAATAAGAAACAATATAAACCTCTAAAAACCACTAGATAAAAATACAGTCCATCTTAATGGCTACCACTTGCCAAACTAGATACTGAAATATTAATATAAAGGTAGAAATAAGAGCTTCATATGCATCAATGATCATTTTTTAGAAGTAGATACAACTGATTAATCAAAACTACTGATCACTGATTCAACACTATTATTTATTGGGTTAATTGTTAATTCTGATCTATGTAGGTATCCTCTCAAAGCTCTTTTAAGTAACTATAAGTTTTTTTCTCTCATAGAAGTTTATGGTTTCTCCCAAGTGTGCATCTCCTTGTGACTCCTCAGGTAATGTTTGATTGCAAAGTCTTTGCCAAACACAATGTAACTAACTGTATGATTTTTGTGCAGTGTGTATCCTTTGATGTGTATTTAGATTACTTTTTGTCCCAAACTGTTTTCCACATTCTACACAACTGTATGGTTTCTCCCCTGTATGCATCTTCTCATGTCTCTTTAAGTAACTATTACTTGTAAATTCTTTGGAACATACTATACATCTGTATGGTTTCTCCCCAGTGTGTATCCTTTGATGTATATTTAGATTACTTTTTGTACCAAATTGTTTTTCACATACAATACAACTATATGGTTTCTCACCAGTGTGTACCTTCTCATGACTCTTTAAGTAAACCCTACTTACAAATTCTTTACCGCATACTGTGCAACTGTATGGTTTCTCACCAGTGTGTATCTTCTCATGGCCCTTTAAGTGACTATTAGATCCAAATTGTTTTCCACATACAACACAACTGTAGGGTTTTTCCCCGGTGTGTATTCTTTCATGTATTTCAAGCTTAGTTTTAGTTCCAAATTGTTTTCCACATACAACACAACTGTACGGTTTCTCTATAGTATGTATAATTACATGAGTCTTTAAGTTACTTTTACTTATAAATTCTTTTCCACATACAACACAACTATATGGTTTCTCACCAGTGTGTATCTTCTCATGACTCTTTATGTAATTTTTAGTTTTAAATTCTTTGCCACATACTGCACAACTGTATGGTTTCTCTCCAGTGTGTGTTTTCTCATGATCCTTTAAGTGACTTTTAGATACAAATTCTTTACCACATACAGCACAACTGTATGGCTTTTCTTGAGTATGCATCCTCCCATGTATTTTAAGTTTACTTTTCATTCCAAATTTTTTTCCACATACAACACAAGTGTATGGTTTCTCTGTGGTGTGTATATTCTCATGATGCTTCAAATAATTTTTACATATAAATTCTTTGCCACATACTACACAACTGTACAGTTTCACCCCACTGTGCATTCTTTGATGAATGTTTAGGTCAGAACATTTTCTATATTGTTTTCCACATGTTTCACAACCATATGGTTTCTCCCCAGTGTGCATCTTTTCATGAACTTTTAGGTAACTTTTACTGGAAAACTGTTTTCTGCATACTACACAAATGTATGATTTCTCCCTAGCGTGTATCTTCATACGACTCTTTAGGTAACTTTTACTCATAAATACTTCATCAGGTACAACAGATGATCTATCATGTTCTTTCAGGTGATTTCCACAAAATTTGTTGTCTTGTTTCTTTATGTCTAAAATCAAAATATAAGAAGAAATATAATAAATAAAAATCTGGTTAATATCCTTTTCTTTTTTCAAAATATGCAAGAAGAAGGGAATGAAGACTTAGGAGACCAGACATGCTTTTCTTATCTTGAAACATTTTTTTGACATTTAACAAACACAAACAAATAAGGATAGCATATTTCACTTAAGTAATATTTTAAAACTTGGTATGTTTTACAAAAACTAAAACAATATTAAACAACAAAATAAAGTAAAACATTAACAGAATAAAACAGATTTAGGACAACAAAGACAATACTTTTCTTCAGTAACTTACTCTGTATACAATATATTTTACTACCTTCTTTGAATTTAAGATACTATACACTACATTTCTTATGATGCATGTTATTCTACAGACAAAACTTCTCAAGTAGTTTACTCTCCTGACATAACCTTTATTTTTAGGCTACTCTATACTGACAGAACCTTTCTTATACAGAATAATGTAAAGACAATACCTTTCATATATAGGTTTCTTTAAACACCTCCTTTATTACATAGGCTATTCTACAAACATTAAAATTTTCCTTATGAAAATGCATTTCAGATAGATACTCACCTCTATACACAAAATAATTATGACATCATGGCACTGCCATAAAAATATCTGCAAATGCTATAAGCATTGAATGAAGCTCCTATACATATTAACATGTGCTGCACCAGCTTATGATGTAATCATCCATTATACTATAGCCCTTCTCCACCAGAATGGAGACACATCCTTCATGTGCAGTAATCCCCCTGAGCACTAGTGTTGGAACAAAGGCTCATTCTTAATGAGACCAAAGAAATATACTGGAAGTGGGTAGAAAGAGTCGAGGTTATGCAGAGAGGTATTTATATGAAATAAATTTTCAGATTAGGAAAATTTTAACTTCAGAAATGTAAACTCAACCCTGCACAACATAGAGCTAGAATCCCACACTGATAAGATGATGGAGGAGCTAATGGAGATAACAAAATTCCAAAGAGAAGTTCCTTTCTGAAATCATAGTGTCAGAAAGGAAAAACCCATGGTGTGTGTCACACACTATGGGGGAGGGGTGGCCTAAAGTGGCATCACTCAGTTAAAGACTATATCTATCTCGTGCAATAAAGGTGATAGAGCAAAAGATATTGTTAAAAGTATCAGTGTGATGCTAAGGTGTTTTACAGGTCAGCAGAATGTAAGATTGTTCAACCAGCCATCTCAGGTACTTGGCTGAGCATGTGTGTATAGTGAGGAGAACATAAAACACATCCCACTGCCCAAACAACCAGAAGAAGTTTGGTTCTTTTTATTGTGGAGTGGACTATAATATGATTCCAGGTGACATCCCATCTCTACTTTCCATTGAGAGTTGCATCCACTCAGCTCATACCACTGGGATTACAGCAATACAATGAGTAACTTTTCATATCGAGTCCCTAGTAAAAGGAAGTATGAGTGAGATAAACAAACAATCTGTACAGGACAAAGGAAATGATCTGGGTCAAAACAACCATACAGGAAAGAAAAAGAAGGGAGGTGGCATGGAGAAAACATCCAAACACCCTCTAAAGTAGCCCAAGTTTTGAGGAGAAAGGAGGGGTAAGTGAGAAATTTTAACCTGTCCCTATGATAAATAGAGCAGGAGACATCCAAGGCAAAATAGTGAGAGTGAAAAGCTTCCACAAGTGAAATGCATATAAAAAGAAAGTGAACTAATCTAGACACAGCTTGCTTTGCTAGAGCTGTAGAGACTGGGACTGGAGACTAAAAAAGTGGAAGTTAGGTGTTGAGAGAAATCAGAAAGGCAATGATGATAAGACTTCCCTAGTGGAAGAAAATCCATTGAAAATACCAGAAGATGGAACATCCACTTTGCTGAAAGGATCCAGTATAGGTGGGACTAGTCAATCGGTTATCAAAGCCTAAGCTCCTGAAACATGAAGGGTGAAAAACCAAATGTGGTTGTGAGCTCAAAAGTGAGAGTCTAGAGCATGGAAAAAAAAAAAGGTTCATTCCGAAAGCTGGAGAAACTCATTGAAATATGGAGCAAGCTCAGCTAAGTAATAGAAGCAGAAGTTTGAGAATTAGGATCTAAGATCAGAATGGAATCAACCACCTGGTGAAAAATTTTGGTAATATCATTTATTGTAAGAGTGACACCAATTACAATTACAGCATTGTATAACTCCTGCTAAAGAATGTCCGAACCTCAGGAGATGTCAGAAACATGAAAACATTTAATGTGTAATCCAGATGTTCAACAAAGTCAACTTATTGTCTTTGAAATAAAAGTTGGCCTGGTATGCCAATGGTGCAAACGGCTTAACTCTTTCAGCACGAGCTTGGTCCCTGGGACCTACCTTGTAACCATTTCATGCTTGTCATACTTTTCATGCTATAACTTTTAAATTAGTAAGTGTATGTTAACGAAATTTGGAAAATTATCAGTAAACATTACAATGCTTTCATATGCAAAATATCAAATATGTTTATTAAGTCTTAAGGTTTGTAAAGCAATGTTTTTCTCATGTCTTTTTTCATCATGCAAAGTAATTTTCATTTTAAGA